ACCATCATCACCACAATCAGCAGCAGCAGCTGCTGGAAGATTCCATCTTTAGCCAGAGTTTTCTTGATCCAAAGGGTGTGGGACCAGGGAAATTGTGGAGGGATGCAGACCTGGGATTAGTCCACCAGACCTGGACCCCAGAGGCCTAGAAGCTGCCTCATTGAAGGGACATATTCTTGGACTCTTTACTCCTCACATAGAATCTGTCACCAAATCCATCAGTTTTGCTTCCAAAGCATCTGCTGGCTCTGTCCACTTCTCCCCACCTTCGCTGCCACTGTCACCTCTCGCCTCTCTGCTTCCTCTTATTCATCCCCCACCCCAGAGGACACAATGTGATGCCCAACACACCTGCTCAACACACTTCATGGCTCCCATTGTCTTGAGCATCAGGACCAAAATCCTGAACATGGCCTAAGAGATCCCTCACCATCTGGCCTCTACCTCCTTCTCAGCCTCATCTTTCACCGATTCCTCCAGCCCAGCTCATGACTGAGTATGCTATGTACATATTCCTATGTTGTTAAACTCTAGGACTTTGCCCTAGGACTTTGTTTCCTTGGTGTGAAATGAGATTGTCCTTTTCCAGGCCAACTCCTGGTTGTCCTTTAAGCCTCAGCTTGGCTATCATTTTGTCCAGGAAGTCCTCTCTGACAACACCATCCCTTTCACCCCAAGGGTTAGGTTGGTGTGGCAGACTGCATCTCCCAAAGATGACAGCAACAATGTCTCATCCCACCGGCTCTTTTTCACAAGGTGATCTTGACCCTCCTCCCACTGAGGGCTGGGACTTAGGTCCTGTCCCCTTGAATTCGGGTGTACCTTTGTGACTGCTTCCATCCAAAGAATGCAGCAGAAGTGATGCTATGTGACTCCTGAAGCTAGAATAAAATCATAAAGTCACCACACACTCCTGTCTTCTCTTGGGGCCCAGTCCCAGCCTGTGAGGCAGCCCAGATTAGCCCACGTGGAGAGACTTCATGGAGAGGCTCCTGTCAGTGTTCTGGACAATAGCTCAGGGGTTGACAGCCAGCATCAACCACCAGATGTGAGTGAGGCTGCCTCCAGATGATTCCAGATGGCCACCTAGTCATACCCAACCCTTTAGATTTCTCAGCTGGAGCTCCAGACATCATGGAACATCCCCACTGTTACCTTGTCTGAATTCCTGGCCCAAAGATCCTCCCTGGCAGTGTGTGAGTGAGTAATGATTGTTTTGCATGAACCAGTGAATACAAGTCACTGCAGCACATACATCTGGGCAGCGGCAGGACTGAAATGCTTTGCGTCCTTAGGTGGCAGTGTGGTACAGCTGCGAAGGCGCTGAGCTGGGACCCAGACTACCTCCCAGTGGGTCTGCCTGGCCACTCTCCCACAGTGGGCTTCACTGTCCCTGCCCTTGAAGGGGGCAGCCGGCAGTACTGGGCCCGGGTAACTCACCTTCGGTCTAAGATGAGAGCTATTCCCAGCCAGGTGATCAGAGCATGGGCTCCAGAGCCTGGTCCTTAATCTTTTTTGTGCCTGGGCCCCATTTCAGAGTTATGTTTTTTAATATAGAATCCATAGGACTGCAAAGGCAGTCATATATATATATACATGCTTTATTGAGGTTTAATTGACAAATTGTAAAAGTTTACACGTGCAACGTAATGGTATATGATATGCATATCCTTTGTGAAAGGATTCTCACCATTGAGTTAACACATCCATCATCTCACAGATTTACCTGTTTCTTTTGTGTGTGTGTGTGTGTGTGTGTGAGAACATTCAAGTTGTCCTTCTTAGCAAATTTCAATGACATATAATACCATGTTATCACCCAGAGTTACCATGTTATACCTTAGATCCTCAGAACTTACTCATCCTCTAACTGAAAGTTGGTATCCTCTCCCTAACCCTCTTCCTATTTATCCCACCCCCCAGACCCTGGAAACCACTTTTCTATTCTTTGTTTCTATGAATTTGACTTTTTTTTTAATTGAAAAAATTTTTTTAAGATTCCACATATAAGATATAAGTGGACCCTGCAGTATTTGTCTTTGTCTGGCTTCTTTCCAGCAACCAATTACATTAAAACACATTTAACAAAATATTACCAAGTCAAGTTGTGATGTAGCAGTGTGTGTGCTTCTTTATTAACATACCACATAAGGTGTGTTGGTGGGTCGGCTGCATTACTATGATTGTAATTTCAAGGAAGCGATTCGTGTAAATGACGTTCTAAGATACCTGCGACAAATGTAATGGGACATGGAAATATCTTTGATTCCAGTTGGTGATGGAGTTGTGGGGGCTGCTGACTCCACTGCAGTTTGTTGTCAACATTCATGATGGAAGAAAATGCAATGTTTCAGTTAGATGTTTGGAAATTTAAGAGGTAATATTTTTTCCCATCCGAGTTCGCTGACTCCAGGTTACAAGCTCATGGACCCCAGGTTAAGAGGCGTTGCTGGAGTTAGGTGGACTCAGGTGCAGGACATCTGTGTGGATTGCTTTTTCTCCTTGCACCTCAGTTTCCTCATCTGGAAAATGAGTGTAAGACTAGTGAGCTCGTAGGGCTGCCAGGAGGAGTAAATGCGATAAACCAAATTCAGCACACGCTTGTTTATTTAAAATTTTATTTTGTTGTGGTGAGAACATTTAACACGAGATCTACCCTCTTGACAAGAAGACAAGTCTTGGCCAGGACATGCATAAATCAGAACACTTGTGCCTTGTTGGTGAGAATGCAAAACAGTACATCTGCTGTGGAAAACAGTATGGAGGTTCTTAAAAAAATTAAAAATAGAACCACGATATGATCCAGCAATCCCATTTTTGGGTATTTAATCCAAAAGAATCAAAATCAAGATTTCAAAGAGATATTTGCCCTCCTGGGGTCACTGCAGCACTGTCCTCAGTAGTCAAGGTACAGAAACAGCCTGTGTCCTTCGACAGATGAATGGATAAGGCACACGTGGTATATAGTATATATGACGGGTTACCCTTCGGCCTTAAAAAGGGGAAAATGTGCACTGTGACAACGTGGATGAACCGTCTCAACATTCACTGAGAACTTTCTGTGCGCCCAGGCTGTTTCAGGTGCCGGGGACTCTGTGTGAATGAGAGAGGCGAACTCCATGCCCTTGTGAAATTTACATTCCAGGGGGCAGAGACAGTGAACAAGCAGGCAAAGAAAAATAGATGGTTTCAGATAATAATAAGGGCTGTGATGAAAATAGAACAGGTGATAGACAGAGAAAAAAATGCCCAGCGCGGGCAACATGAGCTCAGGCAATCAGAGAATCCTAACACACAGAAAACTTAATTACGTTAACGCGTCTGAGGAGAGAGCGCACGCGAAGTGGTACTTGGCCCAGGGCCTGGCACGCGGCATAGGCTCCGTACTCCTCGGCTGTGGTGCTGGTGACAGTGCCGGAAGCTCCCCGGGGCACAGAGCAGGCTCGTGGCTGATGCTGGTGCTGCTGGCTGTACCGGGGCCAGCTGAGCACCGGGCGATGGGAGCCGGGGAGGAGGAGGCGGTGGCCCTGTCAGAACTGGATCTGAGGGAAGCAGGTCTGATTAAAGGAAGATAAAGCCTTCTCTCTGCTGTGGCTTGCTGGGAGAGCTGAGCAGTCAATAGGTCTCGCAGATCAGTGGAGGGTGCTTGCAATCTGGCAGCACGGGGCTTTTTAATTAAACGTGGAACTGCGAGAAGAGGTGACTGCTTTCTTTCTGCAGCTTGTGTTTCTGTCTGCCTGCCAGAAACTGAACAAATCAATGCACTTCCGGAGGTTCTGAGGCTTGGGATGAGGTGGCCTCTGGTTTCAGGAGGGCCAGGATGAGCCCCTGGATAGCCAGGGTGTCAGGCACTAATCTCGGGGGCTCAGGTGTTGCCTTTGGCTTTTAAACACCTGCAGCAGGTGTGATAATCAATTGCACTTCCTGGGACAGGCCATCCCAGCCAGCAGGATTTGCTCCCCAGATCACTGAGTCTGCCCAAAGATCTCAACATCACTTTAAATAAATACTTCCTTTTATTATGAAATAGAGCTTGGCCATTTAACGTGTGGTCCACGGACGAGCAGCAGCACATCACCTGCTGGGACATGTCGGGAATGGATACTCTCAGGCCCTGCCCCAAACCTGCTCAGTTAGAATCTTCATTTTAACAAGATCCCCAGGAAATTCACCTACAAGTTAAAGTGTGGGAAGCGCTAAAATCTGAAACCCGGAAGACGAACCAGCCCCTTGCCATGGTGCAGACCTTCTGTAAATCCTGGAGGGAAAAATGTTAAAAAAAAAAAAAAAGCAGTATGGCATTCATGAGACAATCTGAACACTTATTGGATATTTAAGGACCACAAGGAATTATTAATTTGTTAGCTGTGATAATGGTAGTGTAGTTGTATTAAAAAAGAGCTTTTATCTTTTAGAGTTACATGTGGAAATACAGATGAAATGATTTCACATCTGGCATTTGTTGCAAAATACTGGTGGAGGCAGCGCCTTGAGTGTGGGTGGGGCAGGACTGGCCACGGTTGGGTGTTTGGAGACCCGAGTGGTAACACACGAGGATGCATTTTACTCATTTGTTTACTTAGTGTATGTTTAGAATTCTCCTTAATAAAAAGTCAAGGCTGTGAATTCTGATACAAAAAGCACGTAAAACTTGAAAGTGCTGTGAGTGAGTGATGACTCAAGTGGACATCCCTGTATCTACTACCAGGTCATCGCCAGCCTCGCCACTCCCCCACCAGAACCCCTTCCCCACGTTAACTCCTCCCCTCCCACTTGCTTGGGGGTTCTCACCCCTGGCCGCCCCCGTAGGATCACCTGGGAAAACTTTACACAGAAATGATGCCGAGACCCTCCAGGCGAATGTAAACAGAATCCCTGGGGGGTGGAATCAGTGAGCTTTTCTGACTCTTCAGGTAATGATGTCTTTGCGCTTGAGTTTTTCAATGAACTTACTGTTTCACTGCGTCAAACAGGCCATTAAATGGGTGGTTCCTCGTGGAGGACTGAGTGCTGCATTGTTTTGTAAACATAGGTGACCTTTGGCAGTGGGCACTGCAACCCATTTTTGAAAACAGTGACAGTAGGTACCACTTAACTGAGTTCTTTCTACCTGCCTAGCACTGCGCTGGGTACTTTATTTGCATTTATTATATTTAACCTCCAATGTGAGGTTGGCATCTCTATCGCCATTAAAAAACATTTTTTTTAAATTGAAGTATAGTCAGTTTACAATATTGTTTCAATTTCCAGTGTACAGCATAATGTTTCAGTTATATATATACACATATATTCATTTTTATATTCTTTTTCATTATAGGTTACTACAAGATATTGAATAGAGTTCCCTGTGAAAGAGAAAGAAAAATACAATATATCACTTCTGTGTGGAATCTAAAAAAA